AATCACACAATTCTCACTACATTCTCTTGGAACTAACAGAGGCCCAGGAAGATGTTATATCAATGTTTCTTTAACTACTGATCTTAGGTACTTCAATTCATGAATCCTTGCTTCATTTACACCACCATTTGCACCAAAAACCTGCCTTACCTTATTTTGTGCCTTTTTCATCAACTATGGATCTTTCAACATTTCGGACATTGCCCATTCTACTGCAGTTGCTGATGTCTCACTCCCAACCACAAATACATCCTGGAAATTATTATTGGCCAATGTAAGTTAAATTGAACTTGTTTTGCACTTAAAAAGTTCCATCATGCAAAATTTTCTCATCTGTCTCCAGTAGTTTCCATATGGTGTAAATATAATTGCTTTAGAATTGTATTCCATTACAGCAATGACATCAGACCTTTGAGAAATGATGATATCACTGGTTTTCAATATCCTTTTTGGCAACTTCTGTTAATGATACAACAATGTTTGGAACTTCTCCAAGCTGTAGCTGCATCAAAGCTCTATATTTCTTGGCTAAATCTCTTCGGTTCTGATGGGGGCAATGAACTAATCGATTGATGAATGTTTCTATGAGAGGTAGCTTCCATGATCAAGAAAAGGAAGGTGAGAAAGGGGGTGACAGATGGAAATTGAAGCTCCATGAAAGCTGAAGAAGATCCACCCTTTTTCCTTCTTGTCGAAAGAAAATTATGAGTGTTTAATGAACAAAGATTTTATTCTGATTTTGAAGAAAGAACATCCACCATCTTAGATTTTTTTTTTTTATGACATGTGGGTCAGTAATATATTTGATCTTCACAGTGTTTTATCAACTTGTGAATAATTAAGCAAAAAGAATAACATAAATATGAGGAAAATAATGCTCAAATTATGTAAGTGTTTGTTGAATGTGATAAATGATATTAAGGGCAATAATTAAATACCAGTTAGCCACTTTTGAATGTTCTTCAAACGTGGAAGTCAGGGGGAATGGGTAGGCTAGGGGTTTAATATCAAGATTTCCATTCGGATTTTTTGGTTGACATTGCTATTACTAAGAGAGAAGTTCATTTGCAATTCATTTTACTTCAATTCAGCTACTCGTAATTATTCAATCATAATAAAAAATTATATATAAATTTATTTTATAAATATAAATTTTATATAATTCATGACTTTGATTGATTACTTACAATATAATAATTATAATAATTATAAGAAATATGTTACATATTAAGATCACCCATATGGTCAAAAACTGAGCGAATAATTGGTTTGATGCACATAGAAGATACTATCTTAATGTGGCATACTGGCAATAAATGCCTACTCATCAACTTGGTGGCTTGAGCTAGTAAGAAAATTAATGTTTCCAAACTTGATTAATGTGGCCAAATTATATCATTAGAAAGTGTTTGTTAAATACTAGAGAACAAGATCAAATGAATTAGGCATTAAAAGTGAAAAGAAAAAAAATTAAATGAAAATTTGGAAAAGAAAAGCTCTTGTTTTTTGTGCTTCTATGCAACAGTTGAAGCATGGTAAGGAGTAGAACTTTTCAGAGTAACTCAAAATGGGATGAGCTCAAAATTTGTCCCCACGAAATCAACTGAACTGTTATGAAACCTTTCAGGGTAAAACTTTTCAGGTTCAGGCCAATGATTTGGATCTCTTCCAATTGCCCATGCTTTGACAATGATTCTGGTCTTTGAAGCTATCTCAAATCCATTAACCTCACAATTTTTGCTGCATTCTCTTGGAAGCAACAAAGGAAAACTGGTTGTAGCCTCAAGGCTCTTTTTTAACTGATTTTAGATACCAGAGTTCATGAATGCCTGTTTCATTTACATTCCCTTTTTCTTCAAATACCCTTCTTATCTCAGCTTGTGCTTCTTTCATGATCCTTGGGTTTTTTTATCATTTCCAACATTGCCCATTCTACAACTGTTGCTGACGTCTCGCTTCCAACACTAAAAATGTCCTACAGATCTAATAAATAACTTTAGGCCACTAAAATTTACCAATTGTTTTCTCAAGAAATTTGGTGGAGAAAATTTTGATTTTGAAAGAACTATAGAATTAGTGTGTCTACATATAAGAAGTACATTCATTATGGGTGTAAATGAGTTAAGTTATTCGAAAGCTATTCAAGTTTGATTTGAAAAAATTAAATTCAAGCTACTTCAATAACGAATTGAACCGAATTTAAATAGTTTAATACTCTAATAGAAAGGCTCTCAAGTCTAATTAAAATTTTATTTTTTAATATATATAAGTATGATAAAATTATAATTTTTAATGTTAATATTTATAATTTTATCGAATAAAGCTCAAGCCACACAATTAAATTACAAACCAAATTCAAATATGAAAAATGAAACTAGATCAAGTTAGAATCGAACTTTGAACCTAAGTTTTCATATTGAGCGGAGCTTAAATTTAACAGCATATCCACTCAATTTAACTCAATTATACCTCTAATGTTCACCATTGAACACTATCCTCTAACTGCTTGAACTTTAAGCGAATGGTATGGCATATTTTACTCAAGAGTTCATTTCTATACATTGCATGGAGTTTTTAATGAATCATTATTTAAAACAAGTTTATGCATTCTGATGATTAACTCTAATTTCACTCTAAAAGTTGAGGAAAACTTCTCCAAATGAAATCTGAAATAGATCTTGGTAGTTCCAAATAATTGTGGTAGTTAACTCTAGAAAATAAGTATTTTGTGAAAAATTACTAGATCGTTGCAGGGTCAATGTAATGAATGAAATGATTAACATGATGTGGTCTGTTGGTAGAGTTCCTGGGGTCCAAATACTGGCAGCTTCAGCCATGAAAAAAAAATGGAGTGAATGAAATTGACTCACCAGGATGATGGCTTTGATGTTGTTGTCAGTTAAGGGAAATTGACCATCTCCCAGGAGCCTTAAATGAGCATCAACTAGATCTTCCTCTACATCTTTCCGTTCTGCCTTTTGCTTTTGCTCTACTTTCTTTGTGGTCATTAACAATATTCCAAGTGTCCTGTCTGCTTCTCCATGAACCTTTTCGACTTTATGCATTAGACCACACACAAGATGGAGAACTCTAAGTGAAGGAAAAAATTCGCAATGAAGAAACCTGAATTTATTTTGGTATATTCTGAAAATGCTGATATGAATGCTTCTTAAGCTGCCCTTGCTGTTATGGTATATGTCATTGAGAAAACTTTCTCACTGAGATTGACAAGCAGTCCATCATTTGCTCGTATCGATTCGATCATATTCAACACTTCCTCTTCTCTTACTGATTCGAATGAACGGACACGAGCTGCACTGTCTCCAATAGTTTCCGTAATGCGCAAATGCAATATCTGTATATTCACAGGTGGTGATCACTGGAACCATAAGAAGAGGCCTATAAGCAAAGATTATGTCATGTGTTTTCATAATCTGTTCAGCAATTTCTGGAGATGAAACTACCACGGTGGAAATTTCACCGAGTTGCAGGTGCATGATTGGTCCATGTTACCTTTCCAAGTCACTTAGGGATTGATGGGGCAGCGAACCAGCAAGCTGGTGCAGGTTTCCTATCAGAGGCAGTTTCTAAGGCCCTGGAATCATCCTCTGAGTCAAATACTTATTTCTTGATTTCTTTACCCTTTTGAAGATGGCCCGGAATAAGGGTATGTGGAACTCCATTAGCATAAAGAAGAGGAATTTGGAAAGAAAGAAAGAAATGAAACGAATTGATCAGTGATAATTGAACACCTTTCATATTATATATGTGTGATAAATATGAACTGCTTCCATATGTTTTATTGATTGTGTGGTTCAATGGCCTGAAAGTCAAATCAACTGTCATATTCAAATAGAATGATTTTCCTGTATGATGTTGCAAAAGATTTGTCCACTTTGATTTTCTTTATTTTAATTTTTTTACTGCAATTGTTTCTAATAATATGGCATCTGACAGGCAGATGCTTGCAAATACTGTACAAAACTCTTTCAGATATCTATTAATTGTTCAATATTAATTTGATGCCATCATCACATTATTTTGGACATACTCGGATGCATTGTTTCAAGAGTTTATAATCTTAATCTAACAGATTTTCCAACATTGTTTTAGTTTCATGTCTTGGCGCAGATGATGCCTCAATCATGCAAATATTATTATAGACACATGGCCCTACTCTGTTCATGTTATTTCTCCCCTTTGCTGTTTTCTATGGACTCAGTTTTTCACAATAAAATTGTGAATACAACCAAGCAGAGTTTCTGTCAATAAGATGGGTTAAGATTTCAAGAAAGATTCCCATGTAAGATATATATTTTTTTTATGTTTTTATAAAAGAAATTAAGATCTAAAAATAAAAAAAAATGATTATAGATATTAGAATTTAAATTTAAAAATTTTTACATGTATTTTAAAATAACTATACGAATTAACTGCTGAGTTCATTTTTCTTATTTAATTTTCTACACATTTGTCAATCCTTAATTACATCACTACCTTAAAATCAAAACAAAGAGCAGCACATGATTATCTGGTTTAGTAACACAATAAAGTTGATGGATTGAAAATTAAAACTCTAGCTAACCACATACTAATTAAATTGAACAAAATAATAGAAAAATAATGTCAATGATGCATAAAGGAACTAAAAAAGCAAAAGATGCCAAACCATCTGTTTCATCTAATATTTGCATGATGTTTTGAATCACATTCAGGCTATTTTTTATGTCATCTCTTTGACGAGATACATCCAAAAACTCACACGTTTTACTGGTCAAAGCACAGCAATTATTTAGCTCACAGGTTTTTATTTTCTTTTGATTACTTGAGCAGTTCTTGGAACACCTTTAGTGTACATTGTTGTAGTATTGAGGCAAGGAATGGAAAAAAAAAAATAAATAAATAAAGAGAGAAGAAAGTAGAGAAGAAAATTGCAGAAAACTACTTTCTGCTATATTTATTATCTGCTGAAATTATACAAAAAGCATTAGGTGTTGTAATTAAGACATATATAGACCTAACAATTCATGTATTTGTGATTGTCTAAATCTTTAATAATACAACCAAGAGGCACAATTCAAAATGATATTTCCTTATTACCTTGAGTACTGTTCACCGGCTGTACTCAATACTGATACAATTTTTTTCTTTTTGTCTCAATGCAACTCAGTTGTTAAGAGAAGAATAAGGGGTTGCAACCAAGAAGAGATCATTTTTCCTTCTAACTACAGCTCCAAAAACCTCATCCATGTCAAGATCTTCAAGCTTTTTTCCACCTTGAAGTTTCCAGTCAAAATGATACAGCAGCTGTACAAGAGGTAACTCAACATTGGAAATACCATACACCATGCCAGGACACATCCTTCTTCCAGCACCAAATGGGATGAATTCAAAATCGGCCCCCTTGTAGTCAATTGAACTATCAACAAATCTCTCTGGATAGAATCTGTCAGCTTCACCCCAATAGTCAGAATGCCTGCCAATTGCCCATGCATTGATGATGACTCTGGACTTGACTGGTATATCATATCCGTTGATTTTGCATCTCTGTGAGCATTGTCTTGGAAGTAGCAGAGGAACAGGAGGGTGCAATCTCAAAGTTTCTTTGATGACAAGTTTCAAGTACTTTAATTCATGTAACCCTTCACCATCAACATTTTTCCTTTTCTATTGAAAACCTGCCTCACCTCTGCCTGTGCCTTCTGCATAACTCTTGGGCTTTTCACCATTTCGGACATTGCCCATTCTAATGTTGTGAATGATGTATCACTCCCAGCAATAAAAACATCCTGTAGTGTTATTAATTATTAAAAAATAGTAGGATTAAATTCTGTGAATTTTGCTTCACGAGTATAGAAAGACAAATATTAACTTCTTTTTTTTTTTTGCAACAAAGTTTATTCATATAGTGGTGTTTGTTCAACATCTTTAATAATACAACCAAGTGGCACAATTCAAAATGATATTTTCTTATTACCTTGAGTACTGTTCACTGTCAGTACTCAATTCTGATACAATTTTTTTCTTTTTGTCTCAATGCAACTCAGTTGTTAAGAGAAGAATAAGGGGTTGCAACCAAGCATAGATCATTTTTTCTTCTAACTACAACTCCAAAATCCTCATCCATGTCAAGATCTTCAAGCTTTTTTCCACCTTGAAGTTTCCAGTCAAAATGATATAACAGCTGTGCAAGAGGTAACTCAACATTGGCAATACCATACACCATGCCAGGACACATCCTTCTTCCAGCACCAAATGGGATGAATTCAAAATCGGCCCCCTTGTAGTCAATTGAACTATCAACAAATCTCTCTGGATAGAATCTGTCAGCTTCACTCCAATAGTCAGAATTCCTGCCAATTGCCCATGCATTGATGATGACTTTGGACTTGACTGGTATATCATATCCATTGATTTTGCATCTCTGTGAGCATTCTCTTGGAAGTAGCAGAGGAACAGGAGGGTGCAGTCTTAAAGTTTCTTTGATGACAAGTTTCAAGTACTTTAATTCATGTAACCCTTCAACATCAACATTCCCTTTTCTATTGAAAACCTGCCTCACCTCTGCCTGTGCCTTCTGCATAACTCTTGGGTTTTTCAGCATTTCTGACATTGCCCATTCTAATGTTGTGAATGATGTATCAGTCCCAGCAACAAAAACGTCCTAAAGTGGTATTAATTATTAAAAAAGTAGGATTAAATTTTGTGAATTTTGCTTCATGAGTATAGAAAGACAAATAGTGACTTTATTTATTTATTTACTTATTTTTGTACAAGAAAGTTTAGGGTGAGGAGGAGAGGCATTAGCATTCTAGGGTCAGGACAGATAGCAGACTTCAGAGAGTATTTACATTAGATTTATAGATTATCTAGAGGATCTGATGGCAAAAGGATTCAAATCTAAACATTACAAGTGAAGTATTCGAATCTTATCAACTTAACCAATCCCGTTAGATTAGATTACGATAACAAGTAAATTCAGAAGATCATTAATCAATGAAGCAAATTTTACAATGCAAAATAAAAAGTATATTAGAAATAGACTTACTAACCAAGATTACTGCTTTGATGTTGTCAGTTGTTAAAGGAAATTCAAGGTCACCATTCTCCTGAAGGGTCAAAAGAACATCCAGAAGATCATCCAATTCCTTCTCACTAGTCTTTGGCATTTCATTGCTAGCTTTATGTTCATTGATGACAATATCAAAGATCTTATCTACTTTTCGATGCAGCCTCTCAAGTTTAGGCCTCAATCCACTGAGGAACTGAAGAAATTTGACTGAAGGGAACAAGTCTACAAGAGTGAAACCTGAAACCGACCGTATAATTTCCCTGAAAAGTAATGTGAATTCATCTTTCTGATCTTTGCATTTCCCACCAAAAGCAGTCCTCGAAACAATTTCGTATGTGAGAGAACACAGCATGTTACTAAGGTTGACTGGTGATCCTGCTTTTGAAGAAATTGCTCTGACCATCTTTGATACCTCTTCTTCCCTAATTGGACTGAAGGATTGCACACGTTTTGAACTTAGCATCTCCAACACGCAAATTTTTCTCAGCTGCCTCCAATAGTCTCCATATGGTGAAAATGAAATGTCTGTTGAATTATAAGTTAAAATATTTGCAGAAACTAGAAGAGGCCTATTCGCGAATATGATGTCATGGGTTCTCATCACTTCTGCAGCAGTTTGTGGAGAAGAAACAACGATGTTTGAAATTTCTCCAAGCTGAAGGTGCATCAAGGGGCCGAATTTCTTGGCCAAATCTCTTAATGAATGATGGGGTAGAGAGCCAGCAATGAGGTGCATATTCCCGATGACAGGCAACTTCCATGGTCCTGGTGGTAGATTTTGAATCAAGTTGTTGGTCTTGAATCTCTTCCCTAGTTTCAGTAACATGAACAAGAAGATAACAAAAGTGAACAGCATTGGAAAGGAGAAAAACAGGTGCTCCATGGATGTCGAATGTTAGACAGTCTTATGGCTTGCATTCCATCCACTTCTAAGTAGGTGATTTATGTAATGGTTCTGCCTTGACTACTGTTTGTCCTCTAGTTCAGTGGAATCTTAACATCAACAAAGATTATAAAAAGATAATTTTTCTTTCAACTTGTTGGATTTCAATACTTTTACGTCAGTTTTTGTGGCCACTTATTTTGAATTCTCGACATTCTAAATACTTGTTAGAAAAGAAAAAATGATTTTCCTTTAAAAATCAAAGCAAATATTTGTTTTCAATTGATCTGTCAAATGTTGGATGCGGATTATTTTGGAAGATATAGCTTCATCATCAATTTTATACTAGTTTCAAATTTTCTGTCCAACTTCTAATATATTATTTGATTATTATGTTCAATGCACTAATTGGTCAATTACAACTTTTCAATGGAATTACTAATTCAAAGAATTTAGTATAATTTGGAGATATAGATAATTTTTTTTTTACTTTTTGGTTGTTATGAAATTTCTTTCTTTTGTTTTTCTTTTTTCTAATTAATAGTTATCAAAATATATTTCCTTCCAAATTATTTAATATCATTTTCCTTGTCTCTTTAACTTTCACGTGTATTAAGAATAAATCTTTGATTTAGATGTATTTATTTTTTAAATTTCAAATTTTTATATAATAATTGATGTGCCAATACCTTTAATTTTTGAAAGTAAAAATTAAATATCAATTTGTTTGAATAAAAGAGAATTAAGTGTTTAAAAATGAAAAAAATTCTTTTAGGATATTGAAAAAAAGGACACAAAAATGAGATGTGGAATAACTATATATAAATATATTAATTTAATAAATTAATATATTAAATGGACACTCCTGTGAAATTTCTGGAGGTTTTAAGACTTGATAATGTTCATTTCTTCCAGCTTGCCAGTTCAATAACTGTTGTCAAAGCTTGCTTGAACAATAAACATACAACAGGATTTCAGGCATTCCTTTCTCCTTTTCTTTAGTCATTTATTATAGCACTTAAATTATCAATATTTTAATCCTGAAATTAAAAATCCGAAATTTTATTAACAGATGACTGTAGGTCTTCTCTTTACTCATTTCATCACACTTACTATGTCACAATGTTTATGTTTACCCTTTGGGCTATGGCTCCCAAAGGCCCCATGTTTTCTTTTTTTTTTGCTTTCAAATAATTGCTCTATATATACAATTTAAATTATTCGAGTCTTTCCTGAACCACAGAGGTTTAAAATTTTTTCCATCTTCACTAATTACAAAGATTTCTAAAATACTATAATGGATGACTTTGCTTCGTCTTTGTTTTTCATAACTTGGATTGTTGTCCGCCTTTTGCCTTTCCTTTTAAGTGGTGGGGCTTGGAATTGCTATATTATATGCGGTGCTTTTCTTCTTCTCACTCAGGTGAACTCTGTTTGTTTCTTCGAGATTTGTATTAGATAGATATGTTCACTTCTTTTGCTAGCTTTGAAACAATTCGGTTTAGCAAAAAATAAATAAAATACGAAGCCCACACCTCCTAATAAAAATTGTGTGGCTAAAATGACAACTTCATTTGAGAAGAACGAGCTTCAAACGAGTAGTAGTTAGTGTTCTGAAAACAAAAACAAGATAAAAAATAAAAAATTTCGTCCCATCTTCCCCTGCGTCCCATCTTATCTTGAACATGATCATTTTCTACAACCTTTTCTTTTTATAACATGCGCCAGAATTGCTATAGTTGGCTCGAATGCAAGAAAAAAAAAATGGTGGAATCAAGCTAATCTGATTTGATAATAAAACGGACAACCAAAATCTGAAATGACTGAACTCTAAGCAACTCAAAGATTATTTCAAAATGGTCTAATTCCAACGATTCAATCTCAAATAACAGAGTATCAAATCTAAATTACTTTAAATCGAAATAATTCAATTTTTTTTTCCAATTTCCACCTCTACCTTACACCATTACTCCAAAACCATACAAAGTGAAGTTCACACTTGGAACCCACGGCTTTTGTATTTAAGCATGGTTATGGTTAAACTAGAGAGCACCACATCTTCAGGCAAAAGAATTAATGAAATGAAAAACAAACGCCAACCATTAAATTTTTTTTTTCCTTGCGAGAACTAAAACAGATGGAATCATGGAAAACCTCTTCGAATTTTCATCGAAGAAAACTCCTCCATAAAGTAAATTATTCGCTGGATATTTGGACAAATTGCAAAATGCCTTCTTTTTCGAAAATTATATTGGCAAACTGATATTTTTACAAAATATAAAATTTAACTCAATTTATTTATGTAATTATTTTTAAAAAATCTAATTCAGATTGTTATTATTTCAATTCTTGTAAACCCTTTCTCTGTTCTCAAATCGAGACTCTTTGTAAAAATGAAAAAGTTTCTAAAACCGGCAACAATTATTTTCTCCTTAAAACAACATAAAACCTAGGAAGTAAAAAAGCCATCCACAACGAACATCAAACCAAACCAACTACAGCCTACAGTCATGAATCATGAAATGAAAACCTGTCCATCTGGGGATTCGAAGGTAACATGCATGAGAGGACAGCTACCCATTTCTGTCCCAATTAAGGACCTTCATCCATCCTTATATGCGGAAATCCACCACAGAAATCACCAACCCACTTTTTCCAATCCATATAATTCCAAAAGATAAGGTATGCCCCATATAACCAGACATTAAATTTGAAATATATATAAGGACACACATATATAAATATATAATTTAATAAAATATATTAAATTAATTTAATATATTTTACTTACATGTATA